CACTTTTTAGCGCGGACCCGACGTCCATATAATTGTAAGTCAATGGGGAACGCGGTCGTTTTGCTCCCACGACGGAAAGAGACTCGATTCACCGACTCCTGAAGTCGATCGTATCCACGTGGCCACGTAGCCACGCTAGCCCAGAAGCCAGCAGTCTACGGCGGATGCGCCCGCAGCGTTCCCAGGTGGCGGGCCCACGGTGTACACGCGGCGGCGCGCGCGCGAGCCCGAGCCGCGCGACGCGCACGCCGGCCTGCTGCAGCTGCTGCCCGTGCTGGTGCTGGTGCTGCTGTCCATGATGAGCGGCTTCTTCATCAGCGAGCCCGTCTACAGCCTCACGCCGGGGCCCAAGTACCCGCAGCCGCGCGAGACCGCCAATCTGAAGGTAATTGCTCTTCGCTCCTTATTTGTGATACTTGCAAAAATTTACCTTTTGTAATTTTCTACTCAAGAGCCCTGGCAACACCACGTTGTGTATCCTGTTATTTGCGATTTAATCGCGAATAATGGATGAAATCGAATCTGCTACTGTTATATACAAGCTTTACTGCCTTTGTGGTCGAACTTGTTTATTTGGCTCTTGAGTTTGAGTGTAATTTATGGTTGTCTACCTATGTGTGTGTCCATGGCGCCCGCGATACAGGGTTTATGCGTTGTTATTGTTATAAAGCTATTATAGCCATGAACCAATAAACCATAATCTCAGTACAGAGTACTAAAAAAACCGACCTCAAAAGTAAGTGGAATTACGTCTTTTTGCTAAGTTTTATTGAAATATCCCCTAGTTCGCCAATATACAGGACTTGACACTGGAGATAATAAAAATCGGTTCTCACTACTCAAAGTATATTGAGAGAAAAACGCCTTGAATTGGAGAAATAGCAAATTCAACCATTAAAGTAATTGCTCCTAAATTAAAATTAGGCGCTATTTATAAAAATGAATCTTCATGCGTGAACAGCCACTCTTCGAGGTGGATGCTTTTCTTCAAAATGAAATGGGACCACTATGGAAGTACCCCCTTTCCAACAAAAAAAGAATCGTGAAAATCGGTTCACAAATACCGGAGTTATCGCGTAACATACTTACATACAAATAAAGGATATACAGACGAATTGAGAACCTCCTCCTTTTTTGAAGTCGGTTAAACACAAAATGGCTGTTTTCGGCAAATTTTTTTTCGGCTTTTTTAGATCAACTTACTATTGAATATCGTCAAAAAAATCTTGTTGAAATGACCCCGTGTGCAGAGGTATATAACCCTTATCTAAACTACCACTCCTCCCGCACCGCGCAGCTACCTCGAGAACCTAGACGCTTTTGTATCACCGTAAGGAGAATGATTTTTATAATATTATTCTTGTTAACAGGTCCCGTACTACGTCAAGGAGAACTTCCATACGGATTACCAAGGGTCGTTGCGGCGGCTGGAGATGACCATCGAAGAAGAATATATAGGTAAGTTAGCATTCTCGATTTGATATTTTTTTTAGACTTGACAGTTCTAAAATTTGATTCACAACTTTTGAACTGATGGAAAGTGACAATGAGGTCGATGGAGCATCTACATCTAAATAATGCCTATTCACTATCGCCTTCAAAAGGCCCAAGTTATAAGTCTGCAGGTAGGAAATTCCACTCCTTTGCCATTAGCTATTTAAATGTGAAAGAGAAACGCTTCTTGAGAATCCTTGGAATAATTACAACATAGTGTTGGAACCCCAGCCTACGTCTAGTCCCCGGTGGTGGTTACATATAAGCCTCTTGGTACGCCAGTTGGCGGCTCATACGCGGCAGCAATGTTCCAAACGACCGAGCTTATGTTTTATATGGCAGAATCAACTGTCCCGGTATGAACTAACATGTCACCCAAACTTTCTACGTCTCGTATCTGCAGAAAGTCAATTGGACGACAGGTCCATTTCAAATAGCTGGAGACGGTCGGCTGTCGGTACAGATGTATCGCGGAAAGTTTGAGTCGGGTCAAAGGGATTCCGTATTGTGAAGATAGACACATATACGTTTTATTAGAGTTAAACTTGACAAGAGTGGTATCGCCTCAATCGGAGATTGCCTTAAATGTCAAATCAGAACGATTAACCATGGACTCTCGACGAAATCTTCCGAGAAGAAATGGTTCAACTGAGTTTGCATTTATAATATTAGTTTGGAGTAAGACGATTTAAAAAAGAAAGCGAAGCTTAGCCGAAAAATTCTTGGCTAAAAGATAAAAAGTCTATTCCGCTTGTCTAGACTTGGAGAAGGCCTACGACAGAGTGCAATTAATAGTAACAAGGAATTAATAGTGGTCGACATTGTCTGTCTATGGGATGGACGGCAGTCTAGTTCAGGCACTGAAATCTCTCTATAAGGTTTCTTAAGAGCTCTCATGCCAAAAAAGTTTTGACGTTGGCTCCGCCCAAATTTGTGAAACAAATATATGCCTGAAGTTCGCGTGACATGTGACAGGAGATGTTCAATTTTGCGCATTAAAAGTACCAAATTCGTTTTAGCGGAATAACTCTAAAACTAAAGGGATTAAAAAATAATTCGTAGTGACAATTGTCGATCACGCATAAATGATAAATATAATTAATTATCTAATTTTTGTTCTAATAACCTGTAGCATTTCGAGGATAGATCGAAAAAATGTGAAAATTAGAGGTCATTTCCTGATTTTTATCTATCGAGGAAACTTTATTGTTTTATGTTTCTGATTAATGTCTATGCTTGAATATATCGTGTAGTTACTCATAGAATATTTTATTTTTAACTTTAAAGTGGATATACCCCTCTAAAATCAAATCGAAAATTAGGAATTTTTCCTCTGCTCCCTCTTAATAAATGGTGCTTACACTGACCGGTTCAATATCGGGAACGGTGTTAGACGGGGATGTGTAGCTTGGCCATGGCTGTTCAACCTATTAATGGACAATTGTTTGAACGTTTTGAAAGAGAGTACGTGTGGGCTGAGAATGAATGGTTTACTCATCAAGTACCTACTATATGCATGCATGGTGCTTTAGAAAGAAAAGAAATGAAAATTAATGTGAGTAAGACGAAAGTAATGGTTTTTAAAAGTGAGGCAGATGTCACGGATTGCAATATATTGATTGGAGGAGAGAAAGTGGAACAAGTGAAAGGGTTTGTGTATTTGGGTTCTATGTTTACTAGTGATGGAAGATATGTAGTGACATTGAAAGAAGAGTGAACGCAGGGAATCAGGTGAATGGTGCGTTAAGTGCCTTCATGGGCAGCCGGAAAGTGTCTAAAAAGGCACGACTGGCTGTGATTGGGGGGTGCTGGTTCCTACACTTATGTATGGTAGTGAATGTTGAGCTTGGCAGAAGAAGCACGAAAGTGGAATTAATGCAGTAGAAATGAGAGCTTTGAGAAGTATGTCTGTCACCGTTTCACTACCTGCCGAATTCCATCGCGTACTAAAAGGTTCGGTGGCTCCTTTCTCTGCCGCACGGTTGACAAATGGAACTCCCTTCCGGCACATGTCTTCCCTCCCTCTTATGATATGGGGTCCTTCAAACGAGGCGTGAAGAGGCATATTGTAGGCAGGCAGGGTGGAGGTGGCTAGTGCGGTGAGGATTTCATCGCTGCACTAGGTTCCTTCGTGTTTGGATACCACTTTCCATTTAACATCAGGTGGAGTGGAGTCATTTGCCTGTCATATATAAAAAAAAAAGTCTGTAGTGACTCTCATGGATAAATTATGGAACAGTGTGATAAGAGAGCGTTGCAGCGTGGAAGAAGAAGTTGTAGTGACAAAGATAGAGAAAACAGTTTTATAATGCGAGTGTGAGCGAGCAAGTTGGTAAGGGCCGACCAAGGCGAACTTACCATGACCAAATTGAGGCCATTCTAAAGTAGTCAGGTCAAGAGTATCCTTAATCGACGGGCGACGAGTTTTGATGAGGCGAAAGGTGTATGTCAGGACCGTAGCGAATGAAAGACTGCTGTCTCTGCCTACCCCAATGGGAAAAAGGCGGTATGTATGTGAAAAACCAGCGTAGAAATATTTCGTACCTGACAAACAACTAGGCACAGCTCTCGTGTCTGTCAGACGGCCAGATCTTCGTCGGCCGTTTTAATCTAAACAGTATTAACATTTTCACATATCTGTGCATATCCACAGTTAATCTACGCCACGCGTGTCAGCGCGAACGTAACTACCGCGACAGCATGGCGTGGAAGGCGCGAAACTTCGGCGACTCCAAGCAGTACGCCGAGGCGCAGAAGCTACGCACGCCCTCCTGCGAGAAGCTGTCGAATTTCCACCGATAGATGGCGCTGGTAGTCTTTTCTATCGATACGTGGCGCTACCTTAGGTGTAATGTGTTTTGTAAACGGCATGATGCGTGGTTGCATTTCGAATTAAAACAAGAATATCGTATTATACAGGCATTGCAAGCATAAATATTTCAATTTACAAGTATAATTGCTGGTAATTTTTTATTTAGACTTAACATGACAAGTTTAAACACACTGCCAGCGCCACATCGTAGCGCAAAAACACTGTGTGCTTTCACTTGCTTGTAGTTAATGCTACATTTGCTGCTAGCGTTTATATCATTTAGGGATGGACGATTAGATTTTTATGAAGACCGATTCAATTGAATACGATCTAGCTATTTTTTTTTATTGATTCACTTCAGAGATTTAAGCAAATCGATTTAAAGTTAAGGCGAATCGATCGTATTCATAATTTAAACAAATCTCATCTTATTAATGATTTCGATAAATATACAGAAACGGAAGATAAAGAGGAGAAAAATTCTTTGGACACATTAAGTTATATTAAATTGTTATTGAAATGTTTAGTTAGATTTAAAAGATTGGCTTTAAGCGAAAAAAAAATTACATATTATGGCATTTAAATCATTAAAAAGTGTGTTTTATTTATTATAAATTTTTAAACTATTTTTATGAGATCGATTCAATAGCGTACGATCCGATCCGTGGATCGATTCAGAGGCATATATGTGATCCAAAAAAATCGATTCAAAACAAAAATCGTGCATCCCTAACGTCATTCTTGACCAAAATCTGAAAAATTGTGCGTTTTGTGCAATCACATGCGTTAACATTTTGAAATATCACTGAAATAATTTTGTTAAAAGTAATAAAACCGACATCTATTTAACTAATAAAGCATTGTATGTATGTATATGTTGCGCGCTGCGCATCATGTCACTACTAATCGATTTATATACGACGATAAAGGTTGCAATCTCTTTGTTATGTAAAATAGATATACCAAGCAGTGTAAACAGTTCCAATTCCATAGGCCACCAACAGATGGCGTTACCTGTTTTTTCAATCGATATATAGCTTCACAGTCGTCTCATTAGAAATGCATGTCTTGTTCCCTCAAATAATTTGAGCGCGAACCTATACTTGTCACTGGCACTGATCTCCTTTATGGTGAGGCGTCGAGTATATAACCAGAAATAGAGACGAAATAAGGGTCATCGATCCCTGGCAACACATCAGGCAAATGGGCCTCATATCACTATTATAAATATCAACTCTCGTTTGCGCTGAAATCACAAATTAGAAAGATAATATCATGCTGTTCCATTCGGTGGTGTGGGAAAAACAGCAAAACGTCTAATTACAAAACAAACGGAATCATATTTGCGTTTGATTGCGGGCTGGCCAATCGGAGAGCAGTTGTCATAGTAATGATTTGGCAGAATGGTTTTCAAACAAATTAAATAACATTTCGTCTCTATTTCTGGTTATATACTCGATGTGGTAAGGGTAGAGCTAAAGTCCACCATGCGGGTGTAATGTGCTAGAGATCAAAATGTAATCTAATCTTTTTTTTAAATAGCTCCGCACTAGGGAAACCCTGTATCGCGGGTGCCCTGAAAACATAGATAATCACAAATTACATCCAAACTCACGAGATAAATAAATGTAGGCCATACAAATATTTCTCCCGGCCCGGGAATCGAACCCGCGACCTCTGCGTGGCAGTTCTCTCATCTCATCTGCATGTAAAGCACGCATTCCCTCAACACTGTACTTCTAAACGTCTTATAAAAATTCTTAATGAAAAAAATAGTTGTGGCATTTGCAGACTGTCACACAGATGGCGCTAATAGGTTTTTATATCAATAGAGTGTGCTATGATTTGTTTCAATGTTTATGGACTACGTGTGCTGTTCTTAGATGGCGCCAGTAGTTCTTCTATCGATAAATAATGTTTAGAGATTACGCTGGAAGTTACATTGTTGTGGAATTTTGAGATATTAATGTTAATTGTTGTTTAAAACCTATAATGTCTAAGTTTTAGTTGTCATAACTGCCCCGGGTAGCGCCACTTGTTAAATCGACATACTGTATATGATTTTGTTAACCCATTACCGGTTTTGATGCTTTTATTTTTAGTACTCGATTGATTAATGATGTCAATTCTGTTAATATTTGTAAAAACTAATATATGTTGCAATAAATTGTTATATATATATTTAAAGTTCGAAAAATATCGTTGGCGGTTTTCAATGTCTAAACCACTTTTCTACTAATTTTCTTTTTTTTTTTCAATTTTTTGTGTTAAGCTTTTTTTAAAAGAATAATAGTTTAAATAGTAACATTTTTACACTACGCGTAGAAAAGTGATTTCGACCCGTTCACATAAATTATACATAGAAATACCATATCATAGATGTGGTCGTTTAAAAGAAAAGCATTGAAAATAGTTTGCTTTTTAAAATAAGCACAAAAGCACGCTTTTCAATTCAAGCGTAAGCGTTAACAACGTGCTTATGTTTCCTAAGCAAGTTAATTCATCAATATGAATAATAATTTTATAAATAAAAATAAAACTGTGTTTTACAAATAAACTTGCTTATCTTAAGCAAGCAAGCTTTTTTAACATAAAAGTCTATGCGCTTTAACGTTTTTCTAAACGATTTTGTAAGCTTCATACTAAAAAGCGTTTAAATGAAAGTTATAAAAAAAGCACGTTTTAACTTTAAAAAAAAGCAGTTTTTCCCATCTCTAATCATATATCTCCCGATGAGACAGATTGGATGTCAGGCAGTCGATAAATATACTATCGACTATCGACTGAATGTTGGTCACGCTTATGCAATAAATACCCAAACTTGTTTCATTTGAATCACATCGGCTTATTATTCGTCCAACAACTGGGCACAGATTCATTTGAATTGTCGGTTTTTGTAAGTTCATACATACGTACAAAGAGTAGACATAATTTTTAAGTTTTATAACATATTCTTGTTAAAATGTGTTTGTGAATAAAAAAATATTTCGATACAAGTAGGTTAACTGTCAAAATAGAAATAAAAAGGCAAAACAAATTAGTAATGATTAGAGCGTTGTATGTACCATTTACAATTTTACCCACTTTCACAATCTATCGATATAATTGTCGACAACTTCTACATGACTATTTAAAATTTTATGAAAACTGGCAACCCTGCAAATGTCATTTTACTCCATCTTCAAAAGATCTCTTTTGTTACATAAAGATCTTTTTATTGAGTTTTTTCGGCTATCAACTTTTAGTTTTCGAAAATGTTAACAGAATTGGCATTTACTTGTTTTTTTTATAACACAACGAATTGTAAATATTAACGAACAAACTATCTTTCAAAGCTATTATTTTTAATCTTTTTTTTGACGTGTAACTTGTCTGAGTTTGACATTTTAGAAAAAAACAAATATACATCTACAAACGGACCAAATGACACGTTTGTAAACGTCAAAATCGTTGCTGTGGTCTAGTGACCACACTGCACTCCCCATTTCACAGTAGGTAACAATAACTACTGGATCACTCGAGTATCCCTCTACATTTGGCCAAAATTATCTGGCTTTGTGAATACTGGGCTAGACGAAGAAACCACAGATCACATTTTTTTCAACTGCCCCTAGTATTTTGTCAACCATATGACTTCCGGACACAAAATTCAAGTCGCCTTGCATTTAATATCCTTAAATGGCTATAATACAAAAGTATTATTATCATGGAAGAAAAAGTTTTCCCGGTTTTACAAATTCAACAGGGACTTATTTAAATACCAGTTTCAAAACTGCATAAAAAATTGTTTAAGCTTAGGTCATTTCATATTAAAAATGCTAGTTAACTCGAATTATGATCCTGGGAGTGTCATCGAGTATATAACCAGAAACAGAGGACAAAATAAGGACCGTCCATCCCCAGGAACTCATCAGGCAAATGGGCCTTATAGCACTTTTAAATATCAATTCTCGTTTGCGCTAAAATCACAAATTAGAAAGCCGAAATAGTACAGCGCCAACAACATTTGGCCAGACCGGCAAAATGATAGTGACGGAGTGAACATATTTGTATTTTCCATCCGTTACTCTCATCTCTGGACTGTATTCGCACTTTCCATCAGGCGCGGTGCAGTCATTTTGCCGAGTCACAATAAAAAAAAAAAAAAAAAAACTAACCTGTGTGTACGTCCCCGTATATTTCAAAAATATTCTGTATTTATTGTAATAAAGATAATAGACAAATAATATCTCTAACAATGGGGGGCTGTTCCATTCGGTTGTGTGGAAAAAACAGCAAAACATCTAATTACAAAGAAACGGAATCACTTTTCATCTGTAATTAAATATGTAATTTTTCCATTTTCTTCCATTATAGCAAAGCTTAAAGTTAAACTGGTCGATTTGAAGTGAAACAATTGACGACAACCGTGAATTGTTTCGAATTCGGGCTGGCCAATCTGAGCACAGTTATCACCGTAATGATTTGGCAGAGTAGTTTTCAAACAAATTAAATTACATTTCGTCTCTATTTCTGGTTCTCTTAATTTTTATTGATACCCAATTGAGATGATTTAAAATTAGCACAATTGGGACCGAGGTAATTCATGTATTTGTCTAGTATGACATTACACGTTACTTAATTTCCAATTGAAATTTATTTTTTTTAGTTACATACAAGTTACTTGCCAAAAAGACAATTTTAAATAAACTAACTTTGAAAACTTAACCTCATTTAGTGAAAGACGAAACTTGTGGTCCGATTACCTTAGGAAAAACAATAACAGACACCAGTTAACAAAATAACCTGAAGAATATAAACTGGTGCAATAAAAACTTACAATGGTACACAATTACATACATACTTACACATCCACGTGTTAGTTAATTCCTGTAACCTAAACCTTTTCTATTTAATTCAATTTAAAGATGCTTACAGAATACTCTGTAATAATTTAAAGGAAACACAAATTGATATTCAAATCATTCTTTATTTCATAGGTAAGCAAATTACACTTGAAACCGTCATAATGTTAAACTGTACGCGTCATTCGTTAGACAGATTCCCCTGACAGGAATTAGCAAGAAACTCAAGGTGATAAACATTTGTTCATATTCATTATTTTCGTGAAATTTCAGCCTAAAATTGCGAAAGACGGCCCGGTGGCATTGTTGTTCTGCTTTACCAAGTGTCTGTCAAACTTTTGACAATATTGTCGTTGTAGCCACTGTTTCTACCAATTATTTGTCAAACTTTTGACAGTATTGTTGTTGTAGCCACTGTTTCTACCAATTATTTGTCAAATTTTTGACAGTATTGTCGTTGTAGCCACTGTTTCTACCAATTATTTGTCAAACTTTTGACAGTATTGTCGAAGCAACTGTTTCCAAAATTAACGCCACCGAGCAGTCTTTCGCCTTTAACCGGCTGTTAATAGACTTCCTTTGATAACTGGACAATTAACTTTTTTATTAAAATTG